CTAAGCGACATCAATGTTCCCGAACTCTATAGAACTCACGCTTTTTCGCAGACTTGCTCCGCAACGAATGAGCACCATTTATCGCACATTAATCACAGGGAGCAAGCTATACACCAAGCTCAAATCGGGATTAGTGCTATGTTCGGTTGTTTGCCTGTGGTCCTGTCTTAGACTGTTTCGATCGCTTAGCACCGCACGAATTCGTCGATTACGTCGGATTAGCACATGCTCAGTGCGTCTCTTCTGTGTCCGGTTCGAATGATCCCCGGGCGAAGATTCAGCCGAGACCGACGATTCACAGCACTCCGGAAGACGTCCGGCTAGCATCTGGATCACACTCATCGATGCTCGTGTCACCTGAGAGAGTAGTTGGCTGTGGCACCCTCCGAACGCGTGAAGAAAGAGGAAGGTCTCGTTCGGGTCCGTCGGTTGGTTGCTCGCCCGGTTAGCTGGCTGGACGAATAGTCGGACAGCCGGTGAGACCTGGGGTGGGGGCAGAGAGAGATGAACTGGGGCTTTCGGATGGAGTATTCACATTTGCCGAGTGAGTCGCCCAACTGCCCTGCCTGTTCACCTTCTTGTCTGCGGTTTGAGAGCCTGATTTTTCTCCGAATCGATCCACAAGTGGCTGATGAAACCGCGCTGATGCTTGTGCAAATAGTCTTCTGTCTGGGCTCTAGTTCGAAAAAGGTGTCCTTCCCTAATATTGCGTGCTCGATCTTCCAGACACAATATTCTTACAATACTTCGAGAAGAATTATCGCAGAAGGAAGTTCTGGATCTTTTTACAGAGATCCCGACGGAACTCAGTTAGTTGATATGCAAAACCTCGTCACAAAAACTTCCAGGCAGAAAATCGATCCTGAGCAGGCATCTGGTCGCTCCAACTATGAGCACCTGAAGCCTTCCGAGCGGTGCCAGTCTCCACAGTGAGTATATTCGCCGACTGAGCAGCGACCGCCGCCGATACCGCGATGAGTAGCTTCATGTAGAGACTTTACCGAGCGGAAGAACAGATCAGGTGGAATGCGGGTCCTCAGAAGCCACCAGCCTGACAGAAAGACATTCCTCCCGTTACTCTCCGCCTCTGATGCGAACAAGACAGTCCCAAAGGCCATCTGTCTCCGAGAGTTCAGGGGACAACGGATACCTCGTCTCGTTCGGGGCAATGAAATTCGGAAGCACTGCAGACTTATACTGGGTACGCATTTCCCGTTCTAGCAGTCACGTGAATCGAAATCAGAACGCAGTGTAGCACCGATCTCAAGACTCGTTGACATCGTGAGCTCGGCGGAGGAAGGCCTCGGCAGCTCCGTCGCGGCTCCAGGATTGTCACGCGGAATCCGGAGTGATACTGGATCACCTTTCTTCTACTTCTGAATGAATAATTATGATAGATGAATGCAACGAGAGCGGGAATCGAGCCGCTTCACGGGGATGCGCCACGCACAGAATTTTTTTCTCGATGACTCCGTCCATTCCTTCCCACGATCTGAAATTCGATGCAGTATGGAACCGATCGCTCTGCTCCATCTTGTCGCTACGCTCTTGTTGTTGAAAATCTGGCTGTTCATCCTCTCTGGTCCACTTTTGGGGTCAGATTCTCGTTCTGGACGAAGTGCGGAGGTGGATCAAGGAAGCATTGGCTCCAAAACGAGCAGCGGCTCAAATCCATTTGACTGGATAGCGATAGAATTTGGAATCCTCTCCTTGCGGTAGGATGAGCAGCTCACACGGACAAACACGTTCGAATCTTCCATTTGTATCTGCGGCCTCCTCTCAGTGTCGTGAAACTTGGCCGCCCGAATTATCCATTTCGGACAGTCCACCCCATGCGTTACGAGAGCACTTGCCGATGAGAGTGCATTCCGGCTGCAAGGAACGGTCGCATCGATCTATTTCTGATCCAGCTGAGGCCAATATTATTTTCGATGGCAATGTCGGCGTCCGGTTCATCCCTGTATGGTATTCTAAGGCCCAGCGGATACCTGACGACTGTATCGGGAGGGAATTGAGATGATGCTGCGAAGTGTCGAAATGATCATCCACCAGATTCCGGACAATCTATTCACGGAGAAGACCTTTTATGCATCGCGGGCTCTCTTCCCGATCGTTGAACTGCGCGACATCAAGCCATTACGACTGCCCAGAACTTACTTGAGTAGCTCCTAATAAGAACTGAGGCCTGAGCCGGTGCGAAGCTGAAGATAATCGACATGAGGCTCTGAGGGCCGGTCGCCAGACCTTGACCTCGGAAAGTGGGGTGCGGGGTCCGTCGGCCTCCCCCTTCATTCAGAGATTCCTGAAAATTGGTGATCTGCATGTGTAAACGTGAGAAGTGAACCTGGAATTGGTCTCCAAAGGGTATGAGGAGCTTACGAGATTCTATTTCGATCTCTACAGCCAGGAAAAACACCAGGAGACGATTCCTGAGGGAACGGATACGTACTTATCTCATTCGGCTTCCCGAAAGACTCGTCAAGAACATATGTCCCAAATCCCAACTCTATGGCCAAGAGAGAACTGCGTTGACTTCGATCATGGGTGAGAGTGACCGTGTGAGAGGCATGCAAGCGATCACCAGCTCCCAGCTCCTGATCTGAGCGAGTTCTTCTCGTCCTCGTGCCTGATATGAGCGCTTCTGAGGAGCATGCTCCTATCGGATCATGTGAACAATGCTCGCCCCCTGTGCTCGGTTGATTTTGCCACCGAAACCAGTGCATTGATTTAGGTCGATGGGCCTCAATACGGACAGTTAATGTCCCGAGGATCTCCTCTGGACTGCTCCCGTAGCGATGCCTGGTCGGAGACATTTCCGCCGGTCCCACGCAACTGATGAGTCTTTAGGAGCCCTCTCACAGCAGCGTATCCTAGCCGCGCCTTCTCATTCTCGGTTCGGAACGACAAGCCACTCGAGTGCGGCCTCGGGACTCCAAGTTTAGGAGGAAGACGGTTCAGTAGCCGGAAAGCTCGCCCCGGGCTCAAATTGTATTCGACGTTTCGAAAGATGGAAATACCACCCAGGACGCGCAAACAAAGGCTATGATGAAAGACGACACATGTATCTTTACTCGCTGCGGTAACTCCGATTCTTTTCTGACACGTGAGTGGGGAAAGTGGTCTTTGACACAACCTGGGCGGCTGGTGGCAATGAATAGCGTCGAAGGTGATGGATAAGAAATTTCATACTCGATAGTGCGCTGAACAATTGTTTGGCATCAAGACTCAGGTCAGTAGCGGTCAACACCGTGTCTTCTCTCCGAGCCATGAACAAACGAATGCTCCCGGGTCATACACGTGAGGAGTGGGCGTGTAGCGCGGGATCAATATCTGGGGAATTTATGGTGTGTTTCAGAATGAGCAAGTCCTATGGATCGGAGACGCATCCACCACGAGCAGACAGATCAGGAAGAGAAAACGAGAGATAGCCGAAAGCGATTCGAAATCCCTCAAGAAGAAGATTAAAGTGCCGATGAGTTGGCCCGACCGTTATGCGAGCCGACAAGCGAGGAAGTCCGCACTCCGATCAACGCGATGCTATTTATTTTTCTTCTTTGTGCGAACGTCGTGCTCGTTGTCTGACCGTTGTCGATAGTTATTGTTTCTTCTCAATGGGAAACTTTTAATCTTTCGCGTGGGAGTATCTCACTCACTTCCTGCTGGCGCACCGCCGTTGCGCCGCTTCAACGAAGCCCCGTGGACGCGTCCCCCGTCCTTAGCGTAAGCGTCACGATAGCAGCATTCGTAGCTCGGGGTCTGCCATGTCGATTCTCGATTCGATGATCCACTGCATCGGGAATGGATATTCACGGGGTCCAACTTGGTCCAGAAAATCTAAACGCGACCTTTCCGTCCTGGAAGCTGATTCCCCTCGCGTACCTTGGACTTGGAAGTCTTTTTCTCATCGCGGCTCCCCCCACCTATCCAGACTCTGAGAGTGGTGGAGCATCTTACGAGCATCATGCTCCATTCGCGAATCCTTTCCATTCGCGGTAGCCGCATCGCGAAGGAGAAGAGTTCCCGACTTCTATTCTGGAGGTCCTTGGCAAGACTTCAGGAGGACTCAATGCGCGGAGCGCCCGAATCGTGATACGTCAGGCCTGAGTCCTGACGTTCCAGCCGATTTATAAGAATTGTCATAATTCAGGGGGACTTCCCCATTCCCTAGGACCTCTCTAAGCTCGCGGAATCGTGGGTATCCTCCGACATCGGCCAATACATTTAGGCAGAGCGCTTGCGTTTGAATTTGAGTCGCGGAATAAAGCTCTCTACGCGTCCCAGATGTCTCCGTCGGTCACTCGTCGTGGTATTCGGCGATCTCGGGATGAGGGAGAGCTGGCTGTTGGTGGACAGATTTCGTCGGTTGACTCTATAATATAAGCATCAGCATACCTTGCGGTCCTGAGCATCCTGATCGGGGCATGAGTTCGCGGGCACCATTACTCTCATGGATCCCGTACTCTCAGATAAAGATAATGGTCGAGCGTCAGAAGGGAGGAATCTCGGTAGGGATAAGGAAACGGGAAATGAACCCTCGAATCAACAATCTGGTCCATACACTCGAGATAGGAACTCTTTGGACCGACCCCTCGAAGTATTCTCCTTTCCAGCTGTTTCCATTCATGAACGTTAATCCCGACTTATCAGTTCCGGGGTCTCGTTGTCGCGATTCGTCTGCTTAAGAGTCAAATAGTTTGCTCTTATGCAGAACCTGCCGACGTCGTGCGTCTGTCCGACTGTATGGCGAATGAGGGGACGCCGCACGGGCGCCACGACTCGATTGCGATACTTGAACGCAATTCGGACTCCCCAAGTCGAATGATTTGGGAAAGGAGAAGAGAAACGACCGAAATTATTCCTGGAGGGTGGAAGGTCAAAGCTTCAATATTTATAGAATGTACACAGTCGGGGAGTCACGCCGACCGGCTTGGAATATCTGACAGCTTTCGAGAAGCTCTAACATCATTCCATGGTTGAGGTCTTCTCCTTGTTTCATACATCAAGTCAATATGCTGTGAACGGCATCCTCTGTAGTTCCTCTCGGGGAACTCATGACCCTCCACTGATAGTCGGAAGCAAACGGTCATTGAGTCGCTAGCCCGGAGATATCCGAGGGATGCCCCCAGCTGGAGGAGATCAATTGAGATATCCAGCAAGTCGCTCGAGTCCGTCGTGTGGAAATGAGTCGGCCAGCTGAGGGCGAGAGACGACGACGAGGAGACGAAGTGGAGGTCGATATCCGGTGATCATTGGTGGAGGCTCGACTACCGCTTGTTGTGCTGATATACCCCGACCATCTGTGCGGCGACTTTCAGGGACGACGACCCCCCTCCCTTGATAGCGTGTGTCGCAACAGTGTTCTCCTTGATGGGCGTGACTTTTTCGTCTCGACGTGGGTTCACATCGTGCTCATTGCCGTCGGGACGGGTCTCTTTGGTCGATTGCATCGATGCCGGTTTTCCAATTAGCTTCAATGAATTCTGGATGGCTCGACGCTCTCCATTGTTGGCTTCTGGACTGTACACAACAACGGTCTCGTTGGGATTCCCAGCAACGGCGATAGCGGGGTTGTCGACGGCGACACCAACTCTTACGACAGGCGCAGATTCCGCGGCGCCAACGATTGCCGAGGTCACTGCAGCGGAATCTACGATGACGGTGTTTGGAGATTTCACTGATGGGCTATTCGAGGAGGGCCCCGAAACTATGGTGTTCTTCACGGCAGCGGCACCAGCGGCTGACACGATTGCGGGCGATGCCTCGTACATGTCTGCAGATACCGAGCCTTCTCTGAGACGCTCGGGAAGTTCAGCAGCTTGACCCCCGCCCGAGACGACAACGACGACGAACACCAGCGAAACCTGAAAACACAAGTCTCTCAGATATCTTCCGTCGCTTCTTGCGCTCATTCAGCGGGACCATGAACAAGGAGAGCAACATCAACAAGTTGGACAACAGCTGATCAGCCATCTGTCGACGAGGATGGGAAAATTCGATTATTCGAGACTGCAGTCGGAGGCTTACCGCTTTTTGTTTATTCATGGTTCTCTCGTGAGGTCCCGTTGATGATGCGGAGGAGGATGGATGCGCCGATGCTGCAATCACTGCCACTGAAGAAGATTCTTTGTGGGCTCGATGAGAGCAGCTCTTAAATAAGAGATAAAGGATGTTGCGAGCTCTCGCATTCACACGCTCGGAGCCACATGCGTAGGTTGACACCGTCGAAGACGACGCTGCTGTTGCTGTATATCACGAGGAGGAAAGAAAACTTCTTTCCGTATCAAAGGCTGCCCGCCGGACTGTCGAAGATTACCTCTGTTTCAAAAGTCGACTACCTGGCAATGATGACCGCGTGACTTTCGACCCGAACCATGGACGTTCCGAGTCGAGGACTCCGAACGCCTCGCGCGGGATAATATGAGGACAGAGCATAATGCTCGAGGTACTGGTTGGAGTCGGAGTTCGAATCTTTCCACATGCTCTCGGCGTTGGGTCCTAACCTTTCGCAACAGTGAATGTTCACGGTGGACCGACAGGGCCAATTATAATTTTTTACAGAATATATGGCGATCAGAAGCGCCGACACTGATCGCAGTCGCGGTCTTTTCATCGGGAGTCTCTCTTCCCGGGCGAACGAGGGAGTTCTCTGAAAAGCGACTATCCGACGGCTTCGTCGGTCGAGGTCGCGACGTACCGGTCAAACCCGAATGGAGCATCAAACTCTCGACTCCGATCAGGAGGGGGCTTCTTCCTCAAAAAGCGTCCTGCTTCGTATAGTTCTCCTGCGTGCAGTTACTCCAAAACCTCTATTACTCGATGGTAGAGCGAACGCCTCTCTGTTAAGCTTTGTGGCGACTCGGTCTGCGGGGACCTTTCTATCGATTCGGTAGGTCGCAGCGGAGTCTCTGCAGCCGCTCGAGAACGAGTCGCATTTTGGTGTAATCACTGATACATACATCGACGCCTTCAACATCGCTTGCATCTCTAAAAGACGACGATGATCACCCGTAATTGGGACTTTGTCGCAGACTTCGTGGCACCAAGCAATGGTGCAGAAAGAGCGACGACAAGCTGTTCGCGACTCCGGGATGCGGTCCACTGACGCTTTACGTTTTCATTTGTGATGCAATTCTCACCCTCGTTGCTACCGCCGCGTCACCCTCTCCCAGCTGCTCATTTTTTCAGGTTGAAGGTGTTAATGGCATTCTTGTTTGGGCGACTTTAACTTCAATCGCGTTCTCGTTTGTGGCTCGTTCGTGAGAACCTTCCTACCGAAACCGGAAGAGTCCAGAGTAGAAAGCAACACCCGCCGTGCGGGGTCTGATGACTGGTACCGCTGTACTGGAAAAATACTGCAGACTGGTCGCATTCCGCAAGCTCAGCGAAGCCGGGTGACACAGGATACGGCCAGGCCACATAAGCGAGCTCGACGAACGATAATTTCGATCACGATTTTCCAATTTGGAAACCTGTGTTCCGGATCATTGTACGTGACGTGTCGAGCTTGACAGCATGGCGAGACTATTATACAAGATATCGAGGCTGAACAGGAGCGGCTGGGTATAAGCTTGACCCAGCGCGGCCTAATTTTGTTAGGGTGCTCCACTAAAAGACAATAAATATGATCGCCGTTCACGAACATTTCTAATCGTGAACGGCGTAAGGCCAGGTTGACGTGTGAGATGAGCCACGAGATCATCCTCCGGAATGATGGTTCATTCGATCCTGCACGTGTTGCGGTGATGTCGAGAGAGGACCGAGTCATTCTGCTCAGCATCTCACCTGATTAGGAAAGAGATCGGATCTCGGGAAATTCGCTGACAGGATGCTTCCATGGTCAGGCGGAATCCTAGCGGGATCAGTTTTTCGGAGGCGCTACTCGGGTAGTTCATCACTGGCCAAAGGGAATTCTCGACGAGCTTTCCGACGGACGAAGGCGGAAATCTCCTTCACGACTCATAATCTCGTTCAGTGAGCGCTCCCTCTGAGCGATCACGCGCCTTCAAGCTGTGATTGCTTGCCTAGC